TAGAAACAGAAATAAATATGTTTGTTATGTTATATTAAGCCTTAAAGTTCTGTATAATTAAGGGTGCGGCCACTTGAGGGACAGGTGGATTGCCGCTGCTGTCACCACCGTCGAGCTAGGCGGGCGTGGTTTCAGCAACCAGCTCCACCCACGTCCCGCTTCTTTGCCCATTTTCGATTATCCAGGAGTGACACGCTGCCAAGATGGCGATGGCCGGCTTCGCCCACTTTGGGTTTCAAAGATGCTCTTCAGAAACCTACACATGACGTAAATATGTTTTTATACAGTCTATGGGCGCACCACACTGCCTTTTTTTGATTGACTTTTTTTTATTTAGAAAAGAGCAGTGCAGTTTTTATGTTGCTAGGCAACCACCGAATCAGCTGTCCTGTCAGTCTAATCAAGGATTATAGCAGGAGTGCTCTAAAATCTTTGGTTTGCTGTTAAGTAAACTGTCATATTAGCAGAAACTTAAAAAATAATACAGCTCAAGGTAACCCGCGACAGCCACCACAAGTTTCTCCTCCATCATTGCAGTCTCCGGACGTTCCAAGCAACTGTAAACTTCCTTCACCACAACAGAAGGCCTGCCTCTCCATTCATTCGATTGGACAATGAAAAAAAAAGGTGAATGACGATGGGCGTTTTTCTGCTTACAGTTCATTTTTTTTCAACTTCAGGCGCTGATATTATTTTTCTCATTTGAGCTTGGGGTGGACCTGGACATGTTTTTTTGGAATTCACCCAAAATGTGTTTTATAATGAATTACATTTGACTGTGCATCTTACACAACTCCGCTACTTAAATGGTTAAAATAACTGAAAGTAAAATAATGAAAGGCAATTAATACATAATTTACATAGCTCAATCTGTCCTGGTACTCATTAAAAACATCATGTCAATCAAAACTATAACCTGGATGAGTGCAGGCAGTTCCTCGGGTGGCGGATTATGAGCCGAGCGCAGTGCTGCACTCACACTTCATAACCAAACACGCCTGGCCTGAAAGGAAAACTTAGTAGTTAGTTATTATTTAACCTCCTTCAGGAGAGCCTAGAGTGCTTTCTATCCCTAATTGCACCCTGTCACCTCTAAAAGATAAAAATGGGTAGTGAAGAGAGATAGAGAAGAATAGAGCCTTAATGCAGTAGGAGGAATATAGTGCTGCGAGCTTGTAGTTTCTCTTAAAGCAAGAAGGGGTTTTGTGAACTCAAGTGTGCCATGGTCATTATTTGTTTCCACTACAACTGAATGGCCGAGAGGTCACGGGGGATATTTTATACTTCTTTATACAGACCATTTGAAGCTGAAGAAGAAAGGTTTTCCGATGCAGAAATGTCGTTTCATAAGAGCTGCATTATGGGTGTGTAAATTTAGTACTAGAACACTTGACAAGGTAATCAATCAGTTTTATGTATCTGTAAATATTCTGTTTAGCGACGTATGTATCTCTGCTCTGGATAATGAGACGATAATGAGCCTGTCTGTTAGCGCATCAAAAGCCCAGACATCAGAGGCCACTGCAGGGAAGAAGAGGTCGCTGTCATACACAGTCCACTGTTAGTGACCCTGGACAGATACCGTAAGAAACCCAGCAGCTAGCAGATACTAACTGTATTTAAGCCTGTCCAAACAGCGTCTGTGTAAAGGTTAGGCAATCCAGACGAATTAAGGGTTGTATCTTGTGGGTTTTCAGTTTGTTATATATTGGTTACTTGGATGGTAAGTGATAAGACAGCTTGTGTGACTTCGTTATGTGCTGAGTGTGTATATTTAGGAAGGTTAACACTGTGGCTACAGGAAGTGTTGCCCACAGTGTCTCAGCAATACAGTATGGCGGTTAGGGCAGGGGGCACAGCCTCGTTCCTTGTTCCGTTACGCATGACTGTACTGTTCATTTGGTCATAATACACCTAAGGGAAGAGGGCACAGCCTTGGATTCCTTCTATTTCTGTTCCAGATAAATGTCCACTGTTAATGTTGCCTTCTTGATAACAATTTTCAGAAATCGCCACCATGATGCTAGTGTGCTCTGGGTCATTGCTATATTGCTATATGGTTGCTAAGATGTTCTGGGTGGTTGCTAGGGCATTGATATGCAGTTGCTAGGGTGTTCTGGGTGTTTACTGGCCTAAGTCAAAAGAATTTCTGATATTCTGATCTCTAGATATGACTTGGGTACCCCCTTATTATACACTACCATTCAAAAGATTAGTTCAGTATGATTTTTTTTTTTTTTGGAAAAAAATTAATACTTTTATTCAAGGACCCATTAAATTGTTAAAAAGTGACAGTGACAGTGAAAAATCTATTTCAGATAAATGCTGTTCTTTTGAACTTTCTATTCAAAGAATTAAGTTTGTACTGTGATCAGTTTGTACGAAAATATTAAGCAGCACAAATGTTTTTAAAATTGATAATAAGAAATGTTTGAACACCAAATCAGGATATTATGTTTTAATATTTAAAAAATATTATGTTATAATGTTTTTTGAAGGATCATGTGACACTGAAGACTGGAGTAATGGCTGCTGAAAATTCAGCTCTATTCAAATTCAATTCCTTTTTATAATAATTAAAATAGAAAACATTTATTATAAATTGTAAAAACATTTCAAAATATTACTGATATTACTGTATTTTTATTAAATAAATGCAGCCTTGGTAAGCATAAGAGACTTCTTTCAAAAACATTAAAAAAAATCATACCAACCCCAAAACTTTGAACGGTGGTGTAAGTGTAAGATTTTTTTGCCATTTTTATTGCCCACCAGGTGAAAATTGTACGTCCAATTGTTCTAAAAAAAAAGTGGTTGCTATGGTGTTCCGATTTGTTTCTAAGTGAAACGTTAAAAGAGCCCACCCTACAAGACTATAATATTATAATGCCTAGATTTGAATCAAGTCCTTCCTTTAATAAAAGTCTGTGGGATTTTTTTTGCCTGTTTTATCATCCACCTGTGTGAAAATTGTAATTCTGACCCCTTAGAAAAGTACTAAAGTGCTTGCCTAAGTATGCATCACTAATAAGCTATAGACTGCATAAGTGATGAAATATTTTTTTAGAGCAAGTGAGAGAACACTTTAGAATAGTGTTTCATTATGCAACGCTGTTTGGAGGCACTTGACTCAAAGATTAGTTGTCCACAAGAGTGTATACTGTGGTAAATACTTGATTTCTATCTCTTCTCACCACAGTGGAAAAAATTAAGAACAGTTTCTTGTGCTGTTTGCCTATTTGGGTCACATCACCAGCTAAATTTAAGGCCAATTAGCTTTCGTACCAGCCTCTAAAGCCCCAGTTCTTATGTCTAATTTCTGCTGTGGCAGATCCAACTTACTTCTTTCCATGTGTGCAGTAGGGCTGGACTCCTGGAGGAAGTATTGAAGTGTGGTGTCTATGAATTAGGGCTGGAGAGACAGGCCATGCTAAGTGTTACTGTCAGAGAGGAGCTGCCACGGAGAGAAGGAGGAAGGGAAAGTGACAGCGTAAATCCCTCCACACATTTACTCCAGCTCCCCGTCTGTCTGCCTGTTGTATGTGGGGGGAGGGTGGTGTGGCTGCTTTAACAAGAAATTCAGCACATCAACATGTCTTATTTTCCTTCACTATGTCTTTGTATCTTGAGTAAACTGTCGGATTTTGGGCTAGATGAAATATCTGTCATTAGCAGCGCTTGCTAAATACTGTTGTTCATAATTAAGGGTTAGAGGTTTTTCAAAACGTCAAATCGTGGAGCTTCTGTTTTTCTAAGTGATTATATGTACGATTTTCACCAGGTGGATGATAAAAAGGGGGAAAAAAACCTTCTATTCTTATTTGCTAACTTTCTATTAAGCACAAACTCCATATTTAGGGCCTTGAACTTAGGGCTTGGGTAAGTAAGCCCCCAAACACTACAGCAACCACATAGCAGCCACTTAGAACACCCTAGCAACTACCCCAAATGCCTTAGCAACCACATAGCAGCACACTAGCAACTACCACAAACACCTTAGTAACGCCCTAGCAACCTCCCAAAACACCCTACAAAGCATAGCAACTATCACAAATGTCTTAGCAACAGCATTGCAACAACCTGGAAACAAGCCCAAACACCTCAGCAATGCCCTAGCAACCACCCACAACACCCTAGCATTGTAGACTCCATTTCTAATGCCTAGAAAATAATAGAAATTGCTATTATTACTTGGGACTTGGGTAAGTAACCCCCCCAGACACCTTAGCAACCATGTAACAACACCCTAGAAACCTCCCAGAACACCTTAGCAACCCGCTAACAACCAAATATTGTAGCAGTGCCCCAGCAACCACCTTAGAGCACAGAGCACCTTAGCATTGTGATCTATGGCTTAGAAAATCAAAGAAATGGCTTTTCTGATTTGGGACCCAAGAAACGCCCTAGCAACTGTATGTTCTAACAGCTTGGGACTTGGGTAAGTAAACCCTCAAGACATCTTTGCAACTGCATAGCAACACCCTAGCAACATCGTATAAAATCTTAGCTATGTCCTAGCTACCACCAGAACACTTTAGCAATGCCCTAGCAACCATCTGGAACACCCTAGCAATAGAAAAGCAACTACTCCAAATGCTTTAGTAACTGCATAGCAACAAAGTAAGTAAACCCTAGACACATCCTAGCAACTGCATAGCAATGTCCTAGCAACCACCAAGAATACCTTAGCGATGCCCTAGCAACTACCTCAATTGTATAACAGCACCCTTACAACCTTAGCAATGCTCAAGCAACCACCCAGAGCACCCTAGCATTGCGTTGGTGGGTTTTACATGAGCAAACTCAGTTTTCTCAATTCTCTAGTTGGATTTTTCTTAGCCTCTGCTTTGTTCATTTGTTTGATTTAACAAGATGTTTTCAGGAAGTGCACCAAATTTAGCGTATGTCATGTTTGAACAGTTTAGCACTGCCATGAAGCGATATGTGCGCATGTAACATTCCATAGACTCCTTTTATAGTTTCCTTTTACTCTTTTGCAGCAATACTTCACGCTACTCATCATTACTGACGGTGTGATCAGCGACATGGATGAGACACGTCATGCTATAGTTCAAGCCGCCAAACTGCCCATGTCCATCATTATCATCGGGGTGGGCAACGCCGACTTCACCGCCATGGAGTTTCTGGACGGAGACAGCAGCGCACTCAGATCCTACACGGGAGAGGAGGCGATCCGAGACATCGTGCAATTTGTCCCATTCAGGGACTTTCGCAACGTGAGTGTTTCTCATCCTGATTTCCTCTCTTGATTCTACACTGCTTCAGTTATATAAGGGTGTTGTCATAGGGTGCATGATGTAATGCTTTTAAAATGGTAATTTCAGTGTCAGGTCAAAAAGTCTTTCCCGAGCAGCATTAAATTCTCAATATTATGCAGATGAATTGACCCAGAGGCTTCAGCTTACGAATATAATCAATATTTCTGTTGCCACAGACCTCTGGATAGTTTCTTGTTGTTCTGAAGTGAATCCAATCCTGGATCACGTATGTAAACAGAATCTTCAGTAGGAGTGTGAGTGGGCGGTCTGTGGGCCATGTGATTTCCTCAACAGCAGGAGGGAACGGGCAGCACTCCCTCATTTGGGCTCCATTCAGAGGAAATTAAAATTCATTTAGCTTAAGAGAGAATATGGAAGGAACCAGTGCCAAATTTTACCGCCACACAAGCGAAGCTGTCTGCCATTTCTTCATTTTCATTACATGGAAGTGGATTTAACAATCTAACAAGTGGCCACTGCCAACGTGTACTCAAATATGCATCCGCAATGATGTCGTTGCATGTGTTTGTTGCTCTCGCAGGCTCCGAAGGAAACTTTAGCCAAATCCGTATTGGCAGAGCTGCCGCAACAGGTCACACAGGATTTCAAACAGAGGAACCTGTCGCCTAGCAACACAATGCCGGAATAAGCGCTGGAGGCCTGGAGTTCACACTGCATGTTGCCAAAACCTGCTAACTGTTTACAGACCACCCTTGACCAATTCAGTGGACAAAGTGCATGTTTTTTTCTGTACAGAAGTGTTTTTATTTATTGGTTTATATATACAGTATATATGATGACTTATCAATCTAAAGGCAACAGCCATTTGCGTGTCTGTCACAAAATATGTAACTGTCACAAAATATGTAACAGTATTCGGCTGAATGTAACTTTATACTACCATTTTGTGTGTTTTAAAAGAAGTGAACGCTAAAGAGTACTTCATGTAGTGATTTGTATTTAGTGATAATTGTGTGGTACCATGGTCAAGGTGGTGTTTTTTGAATAAAATCCAGTTTTGGAATAAAACAGCTTGATTCATATGAACTATATTTTCAATTTCTATAAACTGCATGAAAATGTTGCATAGTTGCAAAATATAATCATTTCTGTTTTGAAGATTATTGAAAGTCTTGTGGTTTTAGAATGACATGAGAATGAATAAACAATGATAGAAATTTCATTTTTGGTTTTCCTACTAACCAGTAGCCAAATAGCAATTTAGGCATTATTTTAGGTTACTGCCGCCATTTGAATATCTTAGTCAACACAATAAACAAATTAAACAATTCTGATTAACATAATTATAAAAAAATGTTATACATTCACAAATAAAACAATGCTAAATTTAAGAAGAATTATGACTGAAACCCACAGATGCTTTTGAGGGTCAAAATTAACCTTCAGCCTCAAAAAGCCTGCCAGCGTTTCAAGAGGGGAGTAATTTTACACAATTAACTACAAAATTATTCAAGCCTGGCTCCATTCTCATGGAAGTTTTTCATATTTTTTTCCCCTCACTTAATATTTAAAAAAAAAAAAACACTGAAAAATTAATTTTTTCCTGACTGAATATTCAGTTTCACTCAGAAACTTGCATTACAGAACTATAATGGGTTGCAAATGCTGTTTTACATTGATAGGAAATGATAAAAGAAAGAAGAAGCACAAATTCATGAGAAACACCTTTATTTTCCATTCTGTCATCACTGGTTATTTTCCAGTGAACATGACTATCCTTATACGACATTAACATTCCAGCATTCAGCAGCACTGCAGCATTTTGTCTTAAAAAATAAACGTCAAACAAACAAATGAAGAACTCGAGGCATCTAAACTTGAAAGAAGCCCATAATATCTGCTTTGTCCTGTGATGATGGTGTCTGAGATTTGGACTAAATGATTCATGTCTTCTTGATCCACAGCTGTCAGTCAGTCAGTGTCCCCTTGGCCACTAGAGCTCTGCAGAAACCGCAAGGGTGGGTAGATGGGAAGGTGCGTCACCAGGTTAAGCTGCCAGGGGTTTATACTGTATGGAACGTAATATGAGGAGGATGGGGGAAGTGTCATGTTTTGAGAGCACAAGACATCAACAACCACAATAGAAGTTAACATTACAGCCTTTAATAAACATCAAGCAAGTAACCAAACAGATTTATCCAAAAGTGAAACACTGAAATAACGGATACCTAGTGTTAAATCGTTTTAGGTAGTGCACCGCTGAGAAGGCGAGGGGGCGGCACCCAAGCCTTGGGCAGCACAGGTGAGGGAGAGAGTGATAGTGAGTGAGTGTGATCTGTCAGTGTGTCTATCTGAAGAGCCTGTGGCGCTATATAGGAGAGCCAATCTTGTCCACGCTACCTTCGCTGTCGCTGCTGGACTCAGAGTCGCTGCTGCCCGAGTAAGCGCCGAGCCCTGGCAGGATGCCCACGCATACAGCGGCGGAGGGCAGGTGGAGGATGCCTGAGCGAGTCACGCCCGCGCCTGGGGATTTGGGCTCGACTGCCTCCTGATCTGAGAACACAAAACAATACATGCACATAGAGCGCACGCAGTCTCTGATGCATTTCACATCTAACACGGCAGGTTAATATTGAAAGGTGATGCAATTTCTCCTGATTTCTAATGGTAAATATTATACTACTTTTACATTTCATCTAGTTAGGTATAGGAATATGCCATGTTAAAATAGAATTTTACTTGTCGGTTGTAAAAACAAAAAAAAGTGTCGATGAGTGAACTTACAATGAATTTCTATGGGGAAACCATTGTACACTGCTGTTCAAAAGTGTGGGGTCAGTAAGACTTGTTTTAGCATTTATGAAAGCGGTCTCTTATGCTCAATAATTCAAAATACAGTAAAAACAGTAATATTGTGAAATATTGTTACAATTTAAAATGACTTTTTTATTTTAATAATTTATTATTTTGATGGCAAAGCTGAATTTGCAGCAGTCATTATTCCAGTCTTTAGTGTCACATGATTCTTCAGAAATCATACTAATATACTGATCTACACATTTCTTATTATTATTATCATTTTTGAAAGCAGTTATGCTGCTTAATATTTTTGTGAAAACGATCATACATTTCTCTCCAGGATTCTTTAATAAATTGCAATTTAAAAGAATATTGTAGATTTTTTTTTTTGTTACAATGTAAAAGACTTTACTGTGACTTTTGATCAATTTAATGCATCCTTACTAAATAAAAGTATTAATTTCTTAAAAATTACAGACCACAAACTAGTGTAGTGTACATATGGTGTTTTTTTACAGACTCCTAAAAACATTTTTAAAAATTAGTTTCACGCTGGGATTCTTATGAACACTTCCCCACCTTTTTATCAACTATAATCGGATACATTTTAAAAGCAATTAAAACAGTATGGCAAATAATTACAGATCTAATAATGATCTGAAAATCACTTTACATAATTACATTATGTAAAGCCAGCATTATACTACATTGCTCACCTGTCTGACTGCCATTGCCGGCTACAGACTCCTCTGCTTTCTGCTTTTTACTCCCCTCTGAGGACTGAGACGAGCTATACAAAGACAAAAATGAATCACAAATAATTATACATGAAGATTATTAGGCCTCATATTTCCATAGGTTTAAATACAGTATAATCATTTAAATGAACACACTGAGGTGAGTTTGTCCTTTTCGTACCTGTGTCGTTTGACTGCCCCAGCCAGCAGGTGGGCCTGAGACAGGTGACTGGTCCTGTTCTCTGAGGGTTTGGGTCCTGCCTTTTTCTCCGTCTCCTTCTGGCTCTCATTGTTCGCCAGCTTCTGCAGAGCACTGTGAGGTTCATCGGTTAAGGAGAAATCACTGACCTACAATTAAACCATGAGAAAACTTCTCAGCAACACATGACAACCTACTTTCTGGCACTGCTGTTGTGGTAAGCCACAAGACAAATTCAGTTTTTCTTTTTATACTGAATCTTTCTCATAAACATAAAATAACGTCTGGGAGGACATATATGACCTCAAACTTAAACAGCATGCAAACAGAACTAAACCCATAGAAAGACGAGGAAGCTCAGATAAAGAGGGCAACCGCTCCTAAAAATCAAAGTCACCACAGAAATCAAACCTACTTCCTTGCGCTCACAGATGGCCTAAAAAGGCGACACACTTACAGGTAAGGCAATTTGGTGCCTCCACGAGAGGCAAATTCAGTACAATTAGGGCACATTACTGTATTATGCTGCAGATCATGGCTTTCAGCAGTGCTTTTAGATGCAGTTATCAAGCCCTGAGAAAGGTTTCAGTTGCCACGACAACGCATCCTCCAACCTTCTATCTACAGCATAGTCTATGATCTACAGTCATACCTGATTGGCAGAAGAGAAAGGCCACTGCTGATTATGTCTGTGGTTCCATGATGAAAAATCAATTTTATGATATAGATCAAAGCACAGCTTTGTATGTGTGTGTATGTGTGTGTATACACAAGACACACAATGATACTAATACAAAACATGATTCAATTCATCGAAGGATTCATAAGACTAATTCAATCAATCTTTTTGAACTATTTATTCAGAGAAAGAGCTCAAAAGAGTCGTTTGTTCGGGAATCGTTTTATGTAGTGCTGTATGTTTGCGTGCACCCCGAGAGGACAACTCGTCATTTTGGGCTACATCGCATCACATTCAACACAGACTGCAAACTCACAATAACAACTCAGGTAAAGAACGTTTTTTTTTTTCCTTTTTTCTTTTTCCTGTTGCGCTGGAGATTCGCTGCCGCATTCCACTGCTGAACGTGGGAAACGAGAAACAACGCGTTCTGAAGGTGAGTTCTCCGTGGTAAGAAGAACGATTTTTAGAACTTTTTTTCCAGCCACTGAACGATAAAAACATTGATAGCCAATCAGAATCCACCCGGATGTAAAGAGCTCGAGAATTTAAAGCTGCGGACGACACTACTAATAAACTTTATCGTGTGTTGGTATGGAGTTTATTATAGTTACCCACCGTTCCTGGTGTGAACGGGCCTTAACGCCACACTTCGGTACTTTTTCAGCTTTTTTAATACGCCTTGTCAAGTTAAAGAATTACAAGTTCAACCTGGCCTTCTTTTATATTATAAATACATAAAAATAAATACATTCCTTATTAATTTGAACAGTATTTATATTGTATATAACTAATTTACGTGAAAGGTTTTCCTTGACAGGGTATCATTAGAGTCCAAAAATGTCCAGCTGCAAAATAAAGTAAACTGCTTGAAACTCTACGCATTCAGACTAACTTTTCTAAAACCTCTATGCCAGGGGTGTCAAACTCAATTCCTGAAGGGCCGGAGCCCTGCAGAGTTTAGATTCAACCCTAATTAAACACACCTGATCCAACTAATCAAGTCCTTCAAGCTTATTTGAAAACTATATAGTATGTGTGTTGGAGCAGGGCTGGTACAAAACTCTGCAGAGCTCCCTGTTTGACACCCCTGCTCTAAGCCATTTGCCAAGCTTGCATGAATTTCTGTCGGAGCAGCGCTGGATCGTCAGTGTATTGGGTTCCTCTTGGGGCTGTCTTGTTTGAGAACATGTACACTAACAAGGTATAAGAACTCTACTTTACTTTTCACCAGCCATCACTACGCTTGACAGCTGAAGCTTCCACCACCAGCTTAACGAAGGTGAAAGTGGAGACAGACTCAGGCGGGAAGCAAAACTCCCTGTCAATTTTTAAGAGCCATGACAGTAATATTGTGTGCGCTTTAAGGTGTAAAAGGATATCCTGTATTCTTTTATCTCCTGAGCTTCCTCGTCCCGTCTGTGTTTCTCTATTAGAGACTGCTGCCGTGAGACCTCGTCAAGAAAGCTGGTCTCATCTTCATCCAGGCCTTTAACCATGTTCTCTGTGAAGGAACACGACAACAGAATTAGGAAGTCTCCATTAGTGGTTCTTTTTGAGGACACTCAAAAATCACTCAAGCATCATGAAAATATATATTTTTTTTTTCAATCAGAACTGGTTCTTCAACCACTAATGTCTGAATATGACCACCATGCTTGCAGAGCAAGAGATGTGGCCCTTGGAATCAACGGCAATAGGAGCAGCAATGGTCGCTAGGGAGACCGAGAGTGGGTTTGTCACCACGGATACGGAGAAGAAGCCGAGATGCTAAGATCATGCCAGTCTCCCATCAGCACCCGCAAGAACAGACCTGCTCTTGATCTCCACCACTCCCATCTGTTCACACTCCTAGACACCCACCGACAAGCTCAAACACACACCAACGCATGTTTTTGTGCAAACTGTGACGGATAAACCCCAAAATGAGGTCACGTATTGATGGGAGAGGCAAGCCCCCTGAGACTGTGTGATGTGTGTCATCTGTTTTTGATAAAAATAAAGGAATGAATATGGGAGGAAAGCAGCATGATGGCTTACTGAATTTGAACTGCTCCTCATATTCTTCCTGTTTCTTGTCTTTCTGCTCTTGTAGCCTCTCGTACAGAGATCGGGGGTCATACTCCTCCTCGGGGGCCTCTGTGATTGAGTGCGAATGAACACAACCAAAATTTGTCAAATGCATCGGGGGAGAACTAATGTCTGTCATTAAGCCTGCTGTTAATTTGTGTGATTGATGCAGACAAAGTGAAAGTCTCACCCTCCGGGTCATCTGGCTTGTGGACCTTCTCCCATTCCTCCTGCCTTTTTTTCCTAATCTCGTCTAATTCAGACTCTGACACAAACTTTCGGCTGAGGTTCACACCATCTGCCATGGCAGAACCTACACAACACATGCATATTTTTAATGTTATTAAGTGGTGATCACCACATATATATATACAAAAATATATTTAACCCATTAAAACTTACCTAGATGCTGTTTATTTAATCAGGATAAACACTTTAGGTAGTTAATGAAGTCATCTGCAATCTATTCTGTTCAGAGATAGAGAATAAAAACTTGTGATAATTGAAAAACCATTTCACCTAGCATTCGAGCAGAACTAATTACATTAGATGAACGCTGACTCATAAAGAACAATGCCTTTTCAAAGAGAAATACACATGCATCTAACTATTAATTTTAAATGTGAAGCACAATATAAATTAAATTCCAAGTCCAGAGATATATAATAGATACAGCAGATAATTTGTCTAAGCAATGTTGACAGATTTGGTAAGAAAAGGTAAACACTGCCCCCTCGTGCTGGATTTAAACGGTGAAAGCAATAGATCCCAGATACAAACTCACTTATTTCCTTGCTTATAGCTATTTAAACGGCAGATTTATTGAAAGCAAACAAATATTTCAAAGTATTTAGCACACATAAAGCATCTACTCCATATAAATGGTGCTAAAAACACCCTGAGATGGCAAAATATATTAATACAAAATCTATCTAGCTCAAACCATAGTTTATCAACACTTTCACTGTCAGTGTGGATGATAAAAAACCTATACCATCAAGTAGTATTGTGATAAAAAAAAAATCATCAAAACAAAAATAAAGACGTATAATGCAATAAGGGTGAGAAAGGCTAGAGACTCGGTACGGTTCTTTTATTTTGAATATATGCAAGAAACACTGCGATACTACTCTGCAACAGACAGCAAGGCAGCTTCAGTGCCTTGATATTGATCTAAAATAGAGCGTGCAAGGCTTTGATTCGCACTCACTGGATCAGAAATCAGCGGTATTTATACAGCGATTGGTTTAATACACATTATATAATCTTAAAGTCGGTTTGTTTTTATATGTCAGACAAATAATGATCGAAGTGAAAAAAAGAGACGAGGGATAAATAATTATTTCAAGAAGGTAATGCGCTCAGATATTTACCTAATCCGGTTTTGTGTCCCTGTAAAAGGATCCCCTCAGCAACAAGCTGCTAAAGACGTAGTTCCTACGCACAAACTACTGACTCATGGGAAATGTTGTTTTCATGGGCAGGTTTTTTTTTTTCTTCAAAAGTGCAATTCGTTTCTTTACGGGTAAATAATCAAATGCACGTTCAGATTAGCTGTTAATTTTATGTAATTTCAATGTTCTGTCAGTTACGTAAGCCAGTTAGTTGTTTAATCTTGTTTTGTCTTTCCAGTTAAGTAATACAGTTAAGAAAAGCAAAGGGATTTGTGCTTGTAGATTTTTGGAGCATTTCTTTGTGGTGAACCCGCTTGTATGAATAAGTTATTAGAGTTGCAACATATCTGAATTTCCTCACGTTTAGATTTTTATCTCTAAAATAAACTACTTAGACAACACACACACACACACACACGAAAGCAAAAAGTCTGACAAATATAGTATTTATCACTTGTATATTTGGAATTTGTGTACACAGCCCCCTCTTCAGCAGAATTTGGTTTGTTTTACTGGTTGCTGGGAGGGGTTGGGTCCAGCATCATGTGCTAGACAGAAATATGCGACAACGAATCATTATTTTGAATCACATATTTTTTAATGAACCGACTGAACCGGTTCACAAAAACGGATTGAATGATTGATCATGAATAGGACTGAGTTGGTCGGAACGGATCGGCTGTTTTGGGCACGAGTGAGCCGAGAGAATCGAAAAGCGATAAGTTAGTAAGCTAATTTAATAACATAATTGTTTATCAACATACCAACGTGGTATTAATACACAGCATTTTATCAAAATTTGAAAAAAACATTTTCAGCGAATTGATGCGAATGAATTAATAGTATTGTTTACAGTTTATATTTAGTTTCTAAAAACAAACTGAACTTGGACGCAACAAATTTGCCTACAATAGACTCCGTTATTAATCAAACATAATGGGAAGACGTGCTAAACAGCAATATGTGCATACAACTGGCTTTCTTGGAACGTTTTTAGATTTCAACGTATGTACTGTAAGGGATGAGACGGACCGCGTGATGACGGAATTACGTTCTGACGTAAAGGAACAGCTGAATCATTTGTTGAACCGGTTCTTTGAAATGAGTTGTTCAAAAGAACCGTTTCGCGGAAATGAGTCGGACTTCCCATCACTAACACCTCACAGAGCTCTCATTGATCTCCAGCTATCTCACACTGATTCCAGGCAGTTTTTATGGTTTCACTTCTCAGTCAGCCGTTTACTTTCGTTGTCAAACACCAGCTGGATCAGCCTTTCTGCGTGGATCGGCAAAATGTTGATTGTTGAAGTGGTTGTTGTGCGTGAGAGAACGAATCATATCGCTGAGAAGTAAAGCACACACACACTTCCCGTGTAGTCTTTTGTGTTCGGCCTACGGATCAGTGCTGTTTCATTTACCGAAAATCCTCCGCTTTACCGGGTGAGTAAATACTTGTCTCTGGGTTATCCACATTATTTAACGATGAAAGACCTGCTAGTGTATGTGCCAATTTAAAGAAAGGCTTTAAACTAACGCTTTGTTCATCTCTTTGGAGGTGTGGCTAGTTATATGGTTGCTAACGTTAGTTTCTGACATTATAAAAAAGGCTGTGTTAAAAGACCTAACGTTAGTAAGCTACTTATCTAGACAACATTACCGGAATTATATTCACGTCAGCAGCATTTGTAGGCATAGGCCCGTTCGGCGTTTTTAAGTATCAAGAAATTGGATAAGGAGACAGACAAAATGACAGCCTGAATCACCGTTCACTTTCATTATGAGCATTCATGAATTCAAAGTATATGGTGGCTGACGTTGTCAGTCTCCAACCATCTACTTAGCATCTCCCTCTTGTTTCATGGGAAAAAAATAGTTATAAAGTTTTAAATCTCAATGACAGACTTTTCATTTACAGATGAACTAGCCCTTTAAATGCTGCCTACGTAGGCAGCTCACCATGGGTTGAGACACAGCCATAGACTCAAGTTTATTGACGTTAATGTACTGAAATGACAGCTTGCTGTTTATAAGCTTTCATCGGCTTTGTAAATGTCAGTGATTGTGTTAAGTGTACACTGGCCAGTGTTCATTCATGTGTGTGTGAGTGGGTTGTTGTGTTTTAAATGGGGTTTTTGTAAAGTTGTTTGGTTTGCTAGCTGTTAGTTAGCCACTGCTAATACTGACAACTGCTGTAATCGCATATCCTAGCAAGGATATTTGTATAGCTTATGTAACGTTACTTAAATACGAACTGCCTGTTGTTTTTATGTAGTTATTCTACATTATTTTTTAACTGAATTGATATTTAGGTTAATATCAAATTAGTCAGGTTAGTTTTTTTATATTAACTGTGGTAATTGTACTATACTGGCTACTTAGAAACTTTATGCCTTAAAGCAAAACATTGTTCAGGAGACAAGCCCTGGATATTATTGTAACTAATAATATCAGCAATAAACATTTAAATCAATATAATATAATATTAATAAGTAACATTAATATATTACATATGTTGTTATATGAGATCAGTGACTAATATCACTGTTTAAGTGTTTTACTTTAACAAGCTACATGAAAGAATATATTAGTGGTTCCTTTGAGCATTTTATTTGCCATGTGCATGTTTCGCATTGTCATGTTTTCTGTCCACACTGATAATAATTTGATGTGTATTGTTTTTCAGGAGTGAAAACCTCCCAGGCTGTAGGATGTGTGTTGACTGCACTATTAGCTTTGCTCGTCTGCATCTGGCTCCTGATGGTCTGCAGTAGCACAATGACCGACACGTCTACCCGACCCGTACCGAGACACCTTCTAAAGTCCTTCCAATGATATGATAGTAGCCACCTGGATTGTATTCTTTGCCAGCAGGAGCCTCGTGCGGGTTCTGCGACTCACCGTAGAACAGCTGCAGTCAGTGCAGTTTTGGCCCAGCCTCTCGTCCGGCAGAGCCATGGGGAACAGCGGCGTGTGCAGAGAGGACAGTGATGTGGAGGAGGGATCAGCCCCTCGCAGGCAGCTCAGGCGAGTGGATAACTCTGTGTCTGATCCCCCAGAGGCCAGAGGCAGCCGGCCCAGGGACCCGGTTCGCGGCAGAGCCATGGGGAACAGCTGCGTGTGCAGAGAGGACAGTGATGTGGAGGAGGGATCAGCCCCTCGCAGGCAGCTCAGGCGAGTGGAAAACTCTGTGTCTGATCCCCCAGAGGCCAGAGGCAGCCGGCCCAGGGACCCGGTTCGACCACCCCGGCGAGGTCGAGGACCGCACGAGCCACGTCGGAAAAAACAAAACGTGGACAGTTTGGTACTGGACACACTGGCTGTCATCAGGACTCTTGTTGACAAGTGAGTGAACATTTAATGACAAGAGGATCTGCAGAGATTTGTCATTAAATCTGTGTAGGAATGAATCATGCACGTCATATCAATTTCAGTTCCCGGTTCACTCGCGCGTCAGCAATAACATCTCTCCATCTTTGGCTAAAAGCATTGGCTTGCTGTTGAACATCCATTTGCATTGTGGGTTGTTTTCCAGTATTATTGTCTACCACAGCAATGCCACACAGTCTGCAAGAGCTTTCACATTTGAAATAAAGCAGCTTTAAATGTGCAGAGCTTATGGAGAAGCCCGGCACAGCTCTGTAATGAGCATGCCAGTATTTATTTATTTATTCATTCGTTCGCACAGCACCACATTTAATCTTAATGTATTGCCCAAGACAGCAGCTTGAGGTAACAGAGAGAGCTTCATGTTTCTTTTAACATTTTGGCTGGATATCAGAGTCGCCAGTCACTCTTCCTCTTTGTTACATGTTCTTACACCTTCCCACACAGCCGGCCTACTGCTATCTAATGATGTTCACTTTAGACGAGAAGTTGTTCTATGTGTACATCAGATTTGGTGGCTCTGTACCCACCATCTTATTTGCGAGGCCTGCAGTATTGCCTGAATATTTGAATAGTTTATGGTCACTTTTTGAAGAGAATCACAGATTAAAGAAAAAAAAAACTGCAGCAGCAGCTTCACAAGAAAAGGAAATGTTTTTGTTTTGAAAAATACCTAAAGGGCACAAGGGGGAGTGTCAGCTTTTCTTTTCTTAACTTTTTTTTTCTTTTCTTTTCTTTTCTTTTACAGCTGGAATATATTATGGTTGGTCAACCACATCCTTTGACAGCCGTTTTTATTCTTAAACCTGAAACCCTAGTTTTGATGATATAGCTAAGAAAAAAAAATTATAAATTTGCATGACTTTTCTGGCTCAATATTTATTTTTTATATACTTACTCTGTCAACCAGAGGAAACATTTTATAAATATGTCTGTAATGAGCATATATATCCATAACTTTTTATTGAAAGATTCAGTCTAATAGAATCACAACATGAATCATCTATAATTTACTAACACCCAGTTTCCGTTAATAAAGTTTGAAGACGAGCAATATTGTCTTAATTACCATCCTAGAGCAAATATTTTAGCCAGTATGTGGGACTTTGAGTCAAAAATGTTGAGAACTTTGAATTAGGGGGGTCTGTTCTGTAGAGTGCAGAAAATCTGTGTGTTTCTAACTAGCACATATCCCTGTGTGACCATTACACAACAATCACACAGCAGTCAGACACCCATGGCTGGGGGCATTAGACCTTTCTTACACACGCTCTCTTTCTCTTTTTCGACCACCCTCATAGCTATCTTTTCCTTGGCTTCGTCTGCTGTTTGAAAACATCACCCCTAGTACCCACCAATCACTGATTTATGACTGACAAATGAACCACAACGTTGTCACACCGCAGAATAGAGGCAAATTTATTTTCCCTGCTTAAGTGTCTCTGGTGGTGTTTTGATCGGGCCCGGCTCCCTCTAGGAGCACCTCAAGGGATTTTGCTATCGCTGCTTAGATTTACTGTTGCAGACCCAGCTTGCAAAATGGATGCATACACCCTAAAGCCAAAACAGCCCCAGCGGCAGCGGTGGCGGTGGGAGTCTGCCCTCCAATAGCAATCAGTCATGTTTCACACAATCACCTATTATAGCATTAGGCT